TGTGCTTTCAAGTGAAAACAAACCAAAGGAACAAAAAAGAAAAAAACATAGAAGTGCAAGAAACTTTCAGAGCACTGCAAAAGGATTAAAAAAAAAAAAAAAAAAAAAAAAAGAAAAGAAAAGAAAATAACAGTTAGTGAATTATAGGTCACTGAGACCAACTGCATTTTTGGAAAAATTCTGAGAATATTAGTAAAAATAAAAACCATCAGAAGGATCTAGAAAACATCAAGATGACAAATAGCAAGAAAAAAAACAAGATGACAAAAAGAAATTGGTTTTGTCAAAAACTGACCACATCAGACCAACTTAATCCTCTCCAGTGGCAGAGTACCAAGCCTTGTCATTAGCAAATAGTTGAGCTAAAGTACAGCTTAGCTAAGCTATACTTAGGTTACATTTGGACCTAGTAAGGCACTGTTGTCTTCTATGAGCTACTCTTACATAAGGTACAGAAAAAAGTGTTGTGAGATTGGATCCAGTGATCCAGAATTAAGGAGAAATCAGGCCTTCTTGATTGTTCTGGGTGTAGGGTGATTCAATATTTTCTTTATCTGTCCCATTTGTCTGGCTAAAAGGCATTAGGAGATGCTGGCATTTCATAACTGCAGGAATTTGCAGCTGATGTATCTCACCATTAAGCCATACAGTGTGACAGCTCATCCAAGAGAGTCAGATTTTACTGCCTGCACTACCCATACTACCGATTTCTGGGGTGTACAATCACCACAGAAGGTGGATGGAACAAAAACTGAGATTCTGGAGGAAGAGGAGACGATGCAAACACTGGAGCAATCAGTCTAACAGGTCACAGTAGATCTCTGGGCTTTGAAATCAAATCAAAGAATAAGCTAGTCTTAGTCTGCTGGGACAGGTATTTCTTTAAGTGTCTAGACCCCAATTTCATGACCATTTGAGAGAGATATAAGGGCACTGTGGCAGAGGTGAAATACTTTTTAGAAGGACTTGAAAGAAAATGTTTCTACAGGGTGTATGCAGACCTTAAATTTTGGCATTCCCTAGTTTAAATCTCTTACGGACTATCCATCTCATAACACGGGCCCAGAGGTGTGCAGAGTTGTTAAATCTGTCAAATCTTGTTAAATTGCAAAAACCTGTGGGAATCCTTTGGCCAAAGAACCAGGCATGATCAAAATGAAGATATAACACTGAAGGTGTTCTGACATCATCATTTTAGAGCATAAAAACAACAGATTCTTTCTCTTCCCTACAACTCTCAAGAGGGAATAACTTCAAACAGATAGAGAAATGAAATATTCTCAGATAATAATGGAGAACTATTAAAAATTTGTTCTCAGACCCACTCACGTATATTTTTTATAACGGCACATGAAAGGAGAACTCAATTCTACTCAGATAATAAAAAAAATCTAAGCGTATAAAACAAATTAACATGCATTTGAATATTTTTCCAAACTCCGTTCAAAGTCCATCAATAATCAGAGACAGTTCTCCTCCCACAGTCACACAAGCTCATCTTTGGGATTCTTTGTCTGTCCCTAGACTAGATCAAGGAGAACCAGACCTGCTCAGCCACCTGCAGCCACACGTGCTTTACAACTTCAAGAAACGGAATTTAAAAAGTGATTTTCTCAACAGCTTTAATGCTTCACTAAGTATGTATCTGAAAATTGATCATCTTAATAGACGTTTGTGAAGGAAAATGACTGCTGAGTGCTTCTGATTTTAAAATAGTCATTCAAGCTTTCCTATTCTGTCTTAACATTTCCCTTCCTCCCCTCCCACCTATGCTTTTAAAAAGCATATCATTAGCAGGACTTCATTACAGGCAGGTGTAGAGAAATCAAGGCAGCTGCATGAATCCCTACTGAGATCACAACTACTTCCATGAAATTCTAAGGTCTCAGAAGGGAAAAGCACAGCCTAATCTTAGGCACTATTGTGGTGGGGTGCTGGGAACAGGGCAGATGGCCTGCCAGATTTGTTTGTTCTAGTGTCATGCCTTGTGTTGAGCCCTGGCAGAGGCTGTGTCTGAGCAGTGAAGGGGGAGGCTGCCTGCTTGCTTTGTGCCAGCTCTGCTGTGATGTACCATAGGATGAGGGAGATGGCAGCTTCCCAAGTGTTTTGGGAAAGGCCACCAGAGTCACGTGATGAGAAGCAGAGAGGTTTCTCAACAGGGTTGAGATGCAAACCTGCTGCATGAATGGAAGCATGGTCTCCCGGGAGTGGGATTTCACAGTCATTTGGATTAGCTACAGGAAAGGAAACAGACTCTTTAGCAGGGTGTGTGGCAGAACAAGGGGAAATGGCTTCAAGCTCAAAGAGGTTGATTTAGGTTACATATAAGGAAAAAGTCTTTTACAGTGAGAGTGGTGAGGCACTGGAACACACTGCCCAGTGATGTGGTTCATATCTTGTCCTTGGAGACTTTCAAGGCAAGGCTGGATAAGGCCACAGGCAACCTAATATGCTGTGGATGTCCCTGTTTGTTGCAAGAGCTTTGGACTAGAGGACCTTCAATGGTCTCTTCCAACTCTAAGGATTCTATGATAATAACTTAGGTTGGAAAGCACCTCTGGAGGTCATCCAATCCTACCATCTGCTCACAGGAGCACCAGCCTAGAAATTAGATCAGGTTGCTCAGGGCCATATCCAGCCAGGTTTTGTATGTCTCCAAGGACAGTGATTTTACAGCTTCACAGAGCAATCTGTCCTCATGTTTGATTATAATCCCTGAACATTATTTTACTTATACTAATTTGCATTTCCCTTGCCGTAGCTTGCATCCCCTGCCACTCACACTACTGCTCTGCAACCCTGGCTCCATCTTCTCCCTAACGTTACCTGTTACACAAATGAACACTGCAGGTACACCCTCCTGCATGACCTTCTTTTCTGCAAGGTGGATAAGTCCTGGTGTCCTAGCCTCCCCACCTTTGTCCTCCAGACTTTCAATGACCTTGGTGTCCCTCTACTGTTTTCACTCAGGATGTCGTCTTCTCTCTTGCACAAGGGAAACCAAAAGGGGAGACAGCACTCCAGATGCACATAGAGCAGAACATCATGGAGGGAAAATAAACTTCACTGACAAGAGAGAAGCAGGAATGTATTTACTGATAAAATGAATTAACAGTTCATTAACAGTGAATTAACAATGAATTAACAAAGAAGACTGTGACAGGAAGATTCAAGATGGTAAGATACACTTTATTATTAACAGCATAAAGAGTAGGGTTAAGCACATTAATCCAGGAGACCCTCTAGTTGAGAAAAGAGGTTCAGAGTGAACCTCTTTTCTTTCTAAAGTCCTACTCAGAGAAGCATAGGTGTAACCTAATCCTCTTGTAGTACCTGGCTTGGTCAATAATTTCTGTTCAAATGTGAAGGAAGCCTGCTGAATGACGAGGTTCAAAGCACACCCTCCTTGCTTTCCAAACTTTTTGAACTCCAGAGGAAAGGAGCCTAAGCGTAGCTGGTAGCTGGGTCCAGACTTGGTCAACAGTTTATGTCTAAGGGATTGTATGTGAACTATCATTCTAAAATATAATCTCAGCAAAGCTAACAAAGCTTAAATAAACTGTTAGACACTTACCAAGTATCTATACTGGCAAGGCATCTTCACATTAAGGTTTAAGGGATCTCTGTACAGCTATAACCTCAAGAGCCGCCCCCTACCCTCAGGGAGATCCTGCTGTGCAACCAGCTGCTAAGCAGTAGAATTCAAGGGGCTCTTGGGCTGCTAAATACTTATCAGGTAAGATGACTGAAAAAAGTCATATTTTTAGGACATTATCAGTTGTTCCTTATCTGTTGAAGCATGTGTCTGCCATCAGTTCTTCTAGCAACCAGTTTGAGACTGGGAGGGCAGGGGAGATTCAGGCTGGACATGAGGAAGTATTACTTTTCAGAAAGGGTGGTCAGGCACTGGAATGGACTGCCCAGGGAGGTGGTGGAATCGCCGAGCCTGGGGGTGTTCAAGGAAAGGCTAGATGTTGTGTTGAGGGACATGGTTTAGTAGGACCTATTGGGAATAGGTGAACGGTTGGACTGGGTGATCTTTTAGGTCTTTTCCAACCTTGGTGATTCTATGATTCTATGATTCTATGAGACAGATGTGTGGTTTCTGTCTTAGCAAGGTCTTGAGTGTAATCAGCACTGTGCTCACTGTCGGTCTGAGCAAGGTCTGGTGTAACAGCCAGGCTAGAGGAGGACGTTGAGCACACTATCATGGAGAATCATCACTTCACTTAATCTATTGGCCCCATTTCTCCTAAATCAGCCTTGAACATGGCAAGTCAAATTAAATCTGAGCACAAACCCCAAAAATAACTTCCAAGAGATATGGTAGTTACCATATCCTTGGAAACATTCAAGGTCAGGCTGGACGGGACTCTGAGCAGCCTGATCAAGCTCTAGACCTCCCTCTTCATTGCAGGGGAATTGGACTAGATGACCTTTAAAGGTTCCTTCAAACAATTCTATGATCCTGGCCTCTAAGCAATACCTTCTCCCTTCCTTCTTTACACCAGTATTAGCACCTGTGAACACACAGAAATCTGATCAATCAATCAGTGGAAAACCAGTAATTTTTTTCTATTTTCTCAAGGTGGGGAGAGATCTAAAAGACCTGGAGTGAGCAGGAACATCCTGCCTGGAGCTGCCAGGAGTCAACAGGTGTACAACACGAAATAGAGGAAGACACAGCTTAAGGGTGAAGATCTGTCATATTTTTGCTTGAAAAGACAGGAGCAGAGCCTTGACATTGCTGTACCTTCTCTTTATTACCACTGAGAGTAACTGCCTCCTGGAAGTCACTTCTGAGCTGTTTGTGTAATTAAGAGTGCAGTTCCCCTTGAAACACCTTGAGAGACAAATTAAATATTGCTGCGTGCAGAGCAAGAGAATGAGAGAGTGTATGTGAACTGCTGAATCACAGCCTGAACCTCTGATTGATCACAGGTGAAGGCAATTCACCTGTGCTGCCAGAAGGGGTGGAGCCTGGCTCCACCTCTCCTAGACCCATTTAAGAGCTGACTACCAGTGAGGAAGGATCGCTTCTGGAGATCTCCTCCTCTGGAGTTTCACAGCAAGCCTAGGATATGGGTAAGCATTCTGTCTATTCTGTTTTGGTATAGTAACTGCATAGCCAAGCTCTTTGTTATATTTCATGACTATAATATCTCTACATTCATTGATTATACATTGATGCAGCCTTCAGCAGCTCCACACTGACATGCCATCTCAGTGCATCATAAGTGCTCACTGTACTCCAGAGGGCATCATCAGAACAGCAACCCATCGTGGTTTCAAATGGGATTCAGGGTAACCAGTTAAATATTTTAAAGAGATCAAAGTGTTCCTCCACCAGGAAAGCAAGCATGCAGTTTTTCTAATTTAAATAACTGATTCATTTTGGACTACAGTCAGTCTGTTTCCAAGGGAATTCAAGCTGGGTGACTTTTGTTAATGGAGACAATTTACTGAAGGTGAAAGTGTTATTAAGATCTTGCAATAATAATATTAAAAAAGTAAATTAGAGTTCAAAATAATAAGATGCCTAATGTAGCTTGACCCAGATCTAGAGGAGCAAATGGAAGCTCTGTTATTTTTGAATTGTTTTTCAAAATGGCAGAGAAGCAGCCCATTAACTCTAGAAAATAAAATGCTGCGTGTTCAACATTATCAAACACTGAAAAAGAATGTCAGCAAATTTCGGGGTAATACACATGGTTGGTGAAACTATTGGATGCTAAAGGGAAAAAAAATCCAGCATCAATGCTGGTAACATCAGAGATTGGTGCACATCAGATTTTGTTTTTTTTCCTCTTGCCTTCTCATCCAGATATCAGCAGCTAAGGGACACTTTTCATTGCTAGAATAAACTGTTCTTAAATGAAGTCACATTAAGTTGTTTTTTTCTTCACTTTTTTAATAACTTTAATCATAGCTGTAATTTTTGTACTTTATTGTGTTGTCTTTCGTCTCTTGGTACTTATTATTGTTCACCTGTAGACATTTAAGGTAAAACTCTGTACTTCTGGGGGCTGCTTTCACTTACGTTAAGCACTGAAGCATTCAGCTGCTTTACCAATATCTCACCAGCTGGTAAACAACTCGAACAAATGCTCTAGCAGTCTCGATCCAAACTGGTACTGAACAACTCTGTTTGCCTTTGCATGTGTGAAAGGCACAGAGAAGCCTAGAAAGACAGAATTTGTAACAACTTCACAGCCATGCAGAATGTAAAGCCTTGTTTCAACACATGGTCTGCAAAGAAAAACCCTAATCTCCACAGAAGATTCAGCAATGCCTCCTTTAAGATGAAGTTACTGCTGTGATCCCCCACTTGCCACTGGGATGCTCCTGCTGGATGTGAGGTGCTCATCTATGCAATGACCCGTTATATTCTGCAGACTCACGTTAGCACAGATCCTAATGCTCTTCCTCCACAGTGCTGTAGGGTTACAGACTTCTGCAAGGAGTTTGTTGTGAAGAAGGATTGTATGAAACACAAGTGGCCTTCCTGATGGGTCCATCTTCATACAAATCATGTTTTAGCTTACTAGCCTGATGCTTCCTCCCCTGCAATTTGAGAGTACTTGCAGTTGGTGGCAGTACACCAGGGCATAATGTTGCTGATTGTCCACCTACACACCAGTCTGGCTGGGGTAGCACGAATGATATAGTACCCATCTCTGTCATCATATCACTGTCCCTACAACAACCCGGAGCCACTAGATACACTGATATTACCCCTTTAAGTTTACTAGTGAAGTCCTTAACACCTGTCCCTTATTAGATAAATAAGAATGATTATAATTTAATAATAATAATTTAAAGTTAATAAACCATATAAAGCTATTCACATTCTGGTGTGAAGAGGAAGAATATTGAGATGAGATCTGACAATGTCATGCATCTAGCAGTCTTTTCCTAATGCTTCATCTAGTATTATGGATGTGTTTAATTTTACTCATTTCAGTAGATCTAATGTAGCTAGTCAGGCTATTTGTAGAAATTAATGGTGTATGCAAACTATGTGCTAGAGTGAAGGGCTGATTTCCCAGCAGGGGACAGTGCTGAAATGCAGGAGAACTCTTAGAACTGTTGTAAGCAAAGGCAGGGTTAGGCCACATGTATACAGCAAGAGTCAGCTGCCTTCTCCAAAAAATTGTCTTCTCTGTTTGCTCTGCTCTGTTCCTAATGTAATAACACCTGTCTGCCTTGGTTAATATTTTCTAGAGGACGCTTTGCTTTCATAATGCTATTTAACAGTATAAATAACAGAGAGTGCTGCAGGGTAGTTCTGGTGAGGACAGCAGGACCCTTGAAAATTGCTGTAAGTAGAGACTTTTTTTTTTCTTACGGAGATTTCAAAAGTGTATCATATCGCAGTCAATTGATTTTAAGACTTTTGTAGGATATTAAATCTGACTTAGCAACTGTTCCAGTGGTAAAGAGGCTTACTTGGCCAATTGGATACATAGCACACAGGTACCATTTAGGCGTTTGCCTGTATGTTGTTATGTGATTGGCAGGAGTACCAAGAATGGCAGACAAGGGTGTCATTGCCTTGTGGGGAAGCAAGGTGATCTGTAGAGCCAACAAATCTTCAACATCTGAAGAGGGGAATTCCCCTGACATACCTCCTGCTATTCCCAGCTAGAGGGAACAGGCCCTGTTTTGTTCAGAGCCTGGGGATGGATGCCTAGAGTACAGATGATGTTTTTAAACTAATTTTACTACAGTATATTCAAGGCCAGATGTAATACCTTTGCTTAGAGAATAGGATATCTGAGCTGTACTTCTCTTTCAGATGAGACATCTACTTGTATCCTCTAATCATCAGACTGAAGGATAATTGAGCAGGAAGGAGGGAAAAGTTGTTCTTCAGCTGCTCAGGTGAGCTGAAATCACGGTGATGCCGAACTGTAATGTTCATGTAGAGACTGTATAGTGATCAGGTGTACACTGGAATGCAGAAACTAGGAACTCAGTCTGATCTGTTCATGACTGCCCTAAATACTGCATTTCCCTTTTTTTTTTCTTCTGGCCTCAGTAATACTTTATCTATAGGTATGTGTAGTAGCACAGATCCAAAAAGTAAATACTAAGAGTGCTCTGAAGAGTGAGAGATTGTGTTCACCTGTTTCCAGGTAAAAGAAGCCTCGAAGGGGTGATGCCATTCTTGAGGGCTGCAATTCCTGGTGAGCTCTTACATCCCAAGCTATCTTGCAGAAGGCAGGTGACACTGGGAACAGCTCTGATTTTATTCCCTCCCTTCCCTTCTCCCAGGGTTTGTTTGGATTTATGCAAGCAAATTTGACAGAGGTATTGATGTTTTATAGAACTTAGACGTTTTTGAGTAAAACTTCTAACAGAGAAGTTTACTCCATACAGAGAAAAGTAACACACCCGATTACAGAAATCATTGACTTACGCACATGTAGGATTACATGCATTTCTAAATAACATTCTAAAATTGATTTCTATGTTTCTATTGCAAAAGTAATTACTTTAATGAAACAGTGACAATGACTGGATTCTTTTCAGAATCTGATACCTTCAACTTGTGCCTGCAGTATTCTCAGGTCTTGGGTGCAGGGGTATCAAAACTCTGAATCTCAGAAATAAATATCTAGCTGATCGCTCTTGACAACTGCCTGAGCTTGTCCAGGAACATGATGGGAGATATCTTGAGAACTTTCAGGCCAGCCAGTAAGAAACAAGTAAATTTGTGGTGCTCCTGTAAATAGGCCATCGTGTGCAGTGGGTTTCTGAGACCAGTTTCTCACACACAAATGTGAGTAGTCAGTTCCTTCTTTTGTGACTTTCGTGTGCTTGAATTCTTTTAGTTTCTTCTTTGGATATGACCATGGGTAGCTGAGATGAGTTCAACAGACACTACTGATGGTGGGGTCGTGTGTTGTTATGCCTGGTCCCCTGAGGGACCAGCTATCAGGACAAAGTTTCTCAGATTTCCTCATTTGATTGTTTTTAAGAGGGAAGCAGCACCATCTGGTGAGCAAATAGCTTTTCTATTTCTTGCCTGCATGCATTTTCAAACAGTGCAAATGTTCATGTCTAAAATGAGTATAGGTGAAGATCCCTTATGGGAGCAGAATGGGATGAATACTCATCTCCAAATCACTGAGACAAAAATCAGCCCTCAAATAGATAAACTAACTGTATCCACAAAGAATCAACTTCTGTCAGTTGGAAAACTTGGCCTCATTCTGTTATAGGTGTTCTAGTGGACTTATTTTGAGGCAACAGCCAGTCCCAGTTTTCTCCATTTTCTTTCTAGGAAAGAGCATCTTAAAAAAAAAAAAAAAAAAAAAAAAAAAAAAAAAAGTCATTCTGGTTTGCATGGTAGGAAAGATTGTAATATACTCAATGAATGTTATCACCAAATTTATTATGGATAAATTGCTTGAAACATCACCATCCTGCAGGTGTTGGCGTGTTTCTGTGCCACTGTCAGGCTTGACTGAAAGCTTTTCATGAATGAAACCTTTTCCTGAATACTGAAAATACATTGTCATGGCCTGACATAGACAAAAGGAAGAAAAGAGGCAGAGAATTCAACTGTTTTTCTTCCAGGCTATTCAACAAATTATTGTAAATATGGCATTGCAATTGAATAGCTCTTCACTGTATTCCCATGTCTGTGGGCAATCTGACAGAATGTCTCTTGGCAAACTGTTCTCCGGAGACAGTATGAGTCTTAAGAAAGAAAGCTTTCTTCTAAATTATCCTTTTCAGATAGGGAATTCCCTAGGGCTTTTTAAGCAGTGATTCTTAGCTCTTTGTTCTTTAATAAGTGTACAGCAAGTGTTTGGTAGGAAAACTCAATCATGAGGATAGCCTAAGAATCTGCTCCAAAACAAAATAGTTGTTAACTTATCACTGGATAATCTTCTGCTAACTTAAAAGTGCAGTACTATCAACTAGAGTAGTAAACACAAAGTAGAAGTAATAGCTCCCAGTCACATTCTAAAGGCTTACAGGATCTAAATTTTATTATGAAAGTGTCCCCATTAAGCATACACACAAGAAAGGACCTCTACACACTACAGCTGCTGAGTCTTTCATAATTGCATGATTTTAGAATCCACCATTACCAAGATTTCTGTGAAAGCTGACTCATAACTCTTGAACGTTTGTGATTGGCCAGTGCTGAGTAACAGATGGATGATTCGCATTCAGATTGTAGTTAATTATCTGTGAAAATAAATAAAATGAAATCTGTGAAAACTAAACACGAAAAGCAAATATGTCATAACTGCATAGAGCAAAAATATCAGGATAGAAGAAAAATCCTTCTGAAAACTATAACCAATATTTTACAAAGCTCATACACCCATTAGCTACAATTTTGAGGCCAAATTAGTTAAATTCCATTCCTACATTGCACTCCAAATTAAAAGAAATTGTCATTTCAGTGCCTATATACAAAAATCCACCTATATGCTGTGCTTTGTTATAGATAGTAAATGTGATGAGATAGGGAACAGGTAGTGATTCTGTTTAAAATGAAATACTTCATTCTTTTGTGTTCTTGCTGTTTTTAATAAATCATGCCTGCAGTTGAGTAAATTCACAGTAAGTAATTTATTCAGAGACAGATTCTGAATCAGACCTCTAGATACATGGAAATAGATTAGGCTCACATTTTGTGCTTTTGTCTGGGAGCAGATTTCAAAGTCTGACTAACACATTGGATCACACATAGCTGGCTTTAAATATTCAGAACTGGAGCTTTTATGATGAGTTAGAAGTGGATAGTTATACTGAGCAGTATCATTTCAATGACAGAATCAAAGGAGGAGGCTGAAATATAATTTAAAACTACTGTGCACAGTAATTGAAAATTCAGTTAGCAGGGATGCTCATGGCCATTCCAATTTATCAATAATATAGTCTTGCTGCAAGCAGGACTGCCTTTTATAAATACTTTCATCAGACTTGCAGTTGTTTAAATATCTGATTATAGGTCAAAGTATTTTGTTGCTCTTATTCAAGTCTAATCATAACTAGATAATCAAATACTAATGAAAAGTGATCTCTCTGATGCTGTGGTGAAATCAGGACCATGATCATATCACTTTCTGACCACAATCTTTCAAGTCAAATAGTACAAGAATAGAAAGGTGCAGTTAGAATATGTCCCTCCTCGTACAAGTTCTAGCAAATCTGGCTCATTACCTCCACACATCCTTTGCAAGTTTTTCACCATTTCTTTGCATTAGATTCAAGAGAAATGAGGCCCACTGGGACTCTACATTTCCAATGTCCAATTGTAAGAGCTGTTACAGTGTCAGCTCTGTAAAGAAATGTAGACAACACAGCTGAGAGTAACAGGATAAGATAAATGTACTGCCCTTTGACCAGTAGAGCATCTGATAAAAATAAGGCTTTGCTTTCATTGGTGTCACTGACTCCTTTTGCTGTGTTGAAAATGAATCCTCTCCAATGGTTTGGTTTGTCTATTAAGAGATAAAATAAGAACCCAAAGTAATGTTTCAAGTGTCATATCATTTTTATAGAGAAAGGAAGAGAACCTATTCCTTAGAGACATAGAGCTTCACGTTTGGTTTGCTACAGCCACCATCGTTTGTTCTCTCTTGAAATGAAGGGCCTTATCAATCTGACCAAAAGGTTATTTAAAGATCTCTGAGCCTAATTACTTCAGTTCTATTTGTACAGAGCTACTGCTGTCTGTCCACTTGTGTGAATTTCCTCTCTCTTTCCTTACTCGCAGAACATCCAGACTTGCTCTGTGATGTTCTTTCCAGGCATTATCTTAGACCATTATTGTCAAAAGCGCAGTACTATTGCAGTCCTCCAATGATTAGTCATGGTATGTTTTCTGGTGGGGGTATGCTCTCTTGTCTGGCCTGCTGAGGGTGCTGTGTATTCAGGAAATCAGTGTTGAATTTTGCCTTTGTGGGCATTTAGTGTGAGGCAGAAAGAGTTCTGGAAGATCTGTCAGAAGGCCAGGGGAAATTAAAACAAACGACAAAAAAGAAAAAAAAATCATGTCTGGTGAAAGACTTTTTATTTTATTTTTTTCTTTTAAAGGAAATTAAGATGAGAAAAACATGAGCTCTTTTTTAGTGAGAATGACAAAATAACTCTATTTGATTAATTAGCTTACCTTAATCATAAATTTTCCTTTTCTCCATAGGATTTTAATACAAGAAGATGAAGACTGTATTTTATATATGTTTGCTTCTGGCTGGGCTTCATGCTTTTGCTTATGGTCAGCTTACAGCCAGCCACCACAATGGACATGATCCAAACGAGCCTAACTATCATATGCATCACAGTGCTGAAGCAGCTGCTTGCCTCAAGCTAGTGCCAAACAATGCTGACTTTGCATTTAAATTTCTAAATGAAGTTGCGCTGGAAGAGCCTAATAAGAACATTTTCTTCTCTCCTGTAAGCATCTCCACTGCCTTTGCAATGCTGGCCCTGGGGGCTAGGTCAATCACCAAGATTCAGATCCTGGAAGGACTTGCCTTTAACCTTACAGAAATTCAGGAGAAAGAGATACATGAAGGCTTCCACAATCTCATGCACATGCTGAGCCATCCTGAGAGTGGGGTACAGCTCAACATGGGGAATGCAATCTTTCTAACAGAGAAGCTGAAACCACTAGAAAAGTTTTTAGATGATGCCAAACCTTTGTATCAACTAGAGGTTTTAGCTACTGACTTCAACAATCCCACAGAGGCTGAGAAGGAGATCAATGATTATATAGAGAAGAAAACACAAGGGAAGATTACTAATTTGGTTAAGGAAATTGATCCACAGACTATAATGCTCCTGGCTAGCTTTGTTTTCTTTAGAGGTAAGTCATTTAATGTTTGTGTTATTTGTTTTTAGCAAGTGATCTCATCAGCTGCCTCACTAGGAAATTGTTCCAGCAGAAATTTCAAATCCTCTTTGATGGGATTGAAGCCCCTTGTGGTATGCTTGGGCCAAGGAGAGCAGCAGAACCCTGCACAAAGAGACCCTGAAGGCTGAGCTCTGCTCAAGGCCGATGCAGGAACTGTGCTCTGGGATGCAGCCCTATGCAGCCCTAGACACTTTCATGGCTCCAGTTGCCCCACATTTTTTTCAGTTTTCAGTAAATGCATATCTAATCTTATAGAAGTCTGTAGAAGCATGCACTATTCACTGGCCTAATTTGTTATATACTATAAAATCCTATTTTTTCCTTCTGAAGTCCTTGAAATATATACACACAAACATATTTATATATGAAAGAAGCTACTGATGATCAGACGAAGGCATTTTAAGAAACAGTATTTCTAATGTGGATTTCACGATGTGGTATTAAGCTTGACACATCAGCACTCAAATATAGGATCCTACATCAATTTTATCTACAGACAGAGACTTTTGTTAAAGTTAATAGAAATCAAATGTATGCAGAATACAGATGCTGTCAGGTGAGCCCTTAAATCACAATTTACAGAAAGATTACTAAGATCATCTGAAGAGAGAAGTAATACAATCTAATACACTTTCTTGACTGAGTAAAAGATTCTTGATTTACTGTGACATACATCTTAAAATGTTAAGTTTGAAAACTGAATTTATGAATTGGAAGAATAGGTGCAAACAATTAGT